GACGGAGTGGGCGGGCGGCGGCAGCGGCCCCGCGCAGGGCCGGGAGCGGCGGCGGCGGTGGGTCCGAGCCCGCCCCGGGCTGGGCAGCGCCGGGAGCTTCCCCCGGGCTCGTCTGTGCCGGTAAAGCGGGGCCGGGCCGGGCTGGGGGCGGCCGGGCGTGGGGGGCCGGTGATCCTGTAGCGCTGCCCCGGGAGCCCCGGGCCCGGCACCGAGATCCTGCCGGTACCTGGGCAGGTCCGTGCCTGATCCCGCTCTTTGTCCGCCCTTCCCACGGCGGAGCCCCGCCGAGGGCGGCGGGAGCGGGCGGGTGCTCCGGAAGAACGGGAGCCTGCCCGGGGTCGGGATGCCGTCCCGGGATGGGAATGCCGCCCGGGGGTCGGGATGCCGTCCCCGGGGGTCGGAATCCTATTCCGGGGGTCGGGGTGCCCCTGAGGGTCGGGATGCCGCCGGGGGCGCTGGTGGAAATCTAAACAGTTCCTAAACTTTCTCTTCTTTCGGTGCGGCTCCGTGCCTTTGGGGTGTTTCAATGTTTTCCTTACTTGTGGGGACCTGGTCTTCTCCCAGGTGACCCCTGATCTACCTGAGCCCTGTTACCCGCTGGGAAGGTGGATGGGGGATCAAGGGCAGTGGTTTGAGGAGCAGGCAGGGGTTGTGGGGTGCTGCGCTGCTCTGTGCCGCTGACACTCTGTAAAATAACTCGGCTGCTTCCTCTGGGAGATCTGCCTTTTCGGGTCTTGTCGTGCAGAGGTGTTTTGTTCTTAGCTGCTGCTCAGAACAGGAAGAAAAAGGAAAGTCTGGGTGTCCGAGTGGCAGGGCTGGTTCGTGCTCTGGTGTCTGTCACACTGAGAACAGAGCTTGCAGGCAGCTCACCCTCCGAGCTGTGATCCACACTCCGGGGGTTTGAGCTGCTGCTTTTTGAGGATCGAGTCCTGAGAGTGTTATCGGACACAGCAGCAGGATGTCGGAAATAAAAAGCCATAAAAGCGTTTTCTGTGGCCCAAGCAGTGCGGACAAGTGACATGAAAAGCTGGTAAATCAGGGACAGAGGGACATGTGGCACGCAGTGCCTCAGTGACAGCGTGTGCTGTTGGTATGAGTTTGGTGCTGGGGATGGGTGAATTTTGTTTGCCTTTTGTTTGCTTTTTGTTTGCTTTCTGATGCCTGAGCAGGTGTGGCTGGGAGCAGCCAGCCCTGACAGAGCATTCCCTTTCCCTTTTCATCCCTGGAGTCACAGCTCTGCAGGACTCAGGCTGCTGCCCCGTTTTTACCTGCTCAGCTGAGATGCATCTGAGCGAAGTCAGTCCCGCTGTAGCGACTGCTTTTGGAATTGTGGAGAGTTTGGCTGTTCCCTTCCCTCTGCTCTTGCACTGTGAGGCACTGCTGCTCCAGCAGGGCAGCAATGAAACACTTTTTGGTGACCTACATAATTCTCCGCATGAGATGGGATGACTTCAGAGTGGCTCCCCATGGTAAATGCTTTTCCTTGATTTGGCTGGATCCTCTTAACTGGCTCCAGTGTAGCGAGGAGTTTGGAAAGCTTTTCTCTTTTTATTCCCAATGTTGAGGTATTGTGATACAAAAGGAAGGTCATACAAGGGCTCTCATGTGCCTGTAGAGGAGCAGAGATCAAGTGAGTGACCAGCTGAGAGTGGCACAGCAGAATCCACCCGGGGACTGGAGGCAGCTGAGTCCTGACTCCAGGCTGCCATATTCCAGTTGCTCTGTGCTGGAGAGCTCCAAACCTGGCACTTGCTGTTCCCAAGAGGGCAAAAAGGCAGGAAGTGTGCAGTGTGTGAGCCCCACTGCCACAGCAACTGTGCTTTCCTTAAACATGTGAAATTAAATTCAAATTATTGAGGGCAAGAAAGCAAGCAAGCCTGTTGCGTTTTTCTTCCCAAAGACATTTCATACTTGAATGTGGTGCTGCTGTTTGACAGCTCGTGTTTCTCGCTGTGCCCAGGCACGCTGCAGGTCTCAGGTTTCACTTCCAGAGCCCTGCAGCTTGGTTATGTTGCTCGTAAAGCCAATGTGCCAATGTGCCCCGCGAGCCAGAGCGCACTGGGGGCTCAGCCCTGGCAGCTGTGGCTGCAGCCAGCCCAGGCTGCTGGCCCTGCTCTGGGCTGGGCTCCTCAGGGACAGGAACTGGGTGCCCACGGTGCCCCTGGAGATGTGCTGGGTGTGTCAGTGGGTATCCCGGGCCAGGATGCAGGAATCTCGAGCAACTGGAGGCAGCAGCATTTGGTGCAGCAGCAGGTGCCAAGTGAGGTGTGGTGTGCCAAGGCAAACAGGATCCTGGGGATGGTTCCTGAGGAGGGAAGGGCATTCTGCAGGAGCGGGCAGCCAGGCTGGATGCTGCTGGCTGGAGCTGGACAGGCTCTGGGGAAGAGGCTCTGTGGGTGATTGCAGGAATTGGCTCCCCAGCACTTTCTCACTCAGGAAGCTGAGAAGTGCTGGCACCGACTGGGAGAGCAGCCAGGGCTGTGTGAACAGACACAGGAGCTGGAGCGAAGATTTTTAGTGGCAACGGTTGATGTGTGGGAGAAGAAAATGTGTGTGTGCTTAATAAATATTGGCACTCAGCAAGAGCTTATCAGCTAACGCAGTGCTTCAGCTTCTGGAGAGCTGAGCTGGCTCTGCCACACTGAGAAGAATCCCTCCAGATCAGCAGATAAATACAAAATTAATATGAAAAATGGGGTTTTTTTGAATGGTGCTGATTTGCTGCTGCCTGAGCTGTGGGACGGTTCCTGCTTTCCCAAGTGCACACAAGAGGCAGCAGCAGTTCCTGCCTCTCCCCACAACCCAGGCCCCACAGATTGTGTGTGCAGGTGTTGTCCCACATGGAAAAGGGCTGAGAACAGAGCAAACCCTGCAGATTTGATCTCTGTGATTTGCTTCTTTGTGTTGTATGAACTCCTGTGTTTTAGGAAGGAGGTGCACTTTCCCAAACTGAGTTTCAGGGACTTTTGGGGCTGTACCAGTAGACTAGATGACCTTCAGAGGTCCAGTCCACCATCTGCTCCCCACTGGGACTTACTGGGTATTTATTTCTGCAGCCTTTGAAACCCCAGCGTTGTAAATGGCCCCTTGGGGTTCCCTTTTCTGGTGCACCATTGTCCCAGCTACTAGAATACTAGACAAAACTAGGTATTCCTTGCCACAGTTCAGCTGCCTGACAGCTTCTCCTGTCCTTCATGGACAGCTCTTCCTTTCTTTGGTGGTGACAGTTCCCATGTGTGAAGACTTCTAATACATTTCCCTTGCTTTTATCTTCCTTTGGCAATCTCTCTCTCTGGCCCAGATAACTCTTGTCACCCTCCCTGACACTGTCCTGTGACTTGCATCTGTTTTTCATTAATCCCACAACCAAAGCTGCAGAGAATTCCCTGGCCTGTGAGAACAGGGAAAGGATTGAGTTTCCTGGTGATATTTATATATCCCAGAGTGTCTGGCTACTGTCTGCAGCACTGCAGTGGTCTCTGATTTCTGATGTGCAGCTCTTCTGCAAGGCAAGTCCAACAGGCTGAATTTCTGAGCTGGCAGGACACCGGATTCCAAAGCTTTTGTCTTTTTTTTGGTTTCCTCTTCCCAACCCTGCATGTACCTGCAGCACTGTCCACCTGCACATGCAGGCAGTGCTGAACAGGTGTTCTGCAGGATCAAAGCAAGACTTCCCTTTAAATTCCTCTGGCTTTCCAGGGAGCAGCTTTTGGTCTTTACCTTTTGTTCTTTCTGTGCCTGGTGAAGGCTCATTAAGTGCTGCCTCTGTTGGCAGAGACGTCCTGACCCTCCCCTGCCTTCCTAGAAGCACCAGAGAGCTGCAGCAGGACATCACACACCCTCTTGTTTCTCATGTGCCTCTCCAGCTCCTGTCCCTGTGTTTCCTGAGGAAGCACTCCCTGGCCAGCAGCACCATTCAGTTGGTGCCTCCTTCCTCCTGTGCATCTGCTGATTTTTGGGGTTCTGAGGAAGTCACTGCCATGAATGAAGGTCTGTGCTGCTGTAGCCAGTGTTGTGCTGACAGGTGACTCTGCACAGGTGTGCAGGAGGACCAGGTCTCTGGCCAGGTGGCTCCACATCCCTGCTCCTGACTCCCCTGGCCCTGTTTGGAAACAGCATGTTGTAACTCAGTGTGGGGAAGGAGAAGTTGCACCAGAATTTACTGCCTGTTCTTGCAGGGTGCAATGAGAGGAAAGGTGATTTTTGCTCCTTAAATGTGGTTGAGGCAAATGACTTTCTGCCAGATGTAACCCAGAGCCTGAAGCTGTGGATTTTGGCAATGTGGACAAGAATGAGCTTAGGGCTTGGCTGGTGTTTGGTTTTTGGGGCTGAGACATGAGGATACATGTGTCTGGTGCTAGAAGGAGACAGGAGTGTGCAGGACTTGCAAAGTGATTCTCTTATCCTGAACCCTTGCTGGTACAGAGCAGGGCTGAGGCTCCTCCATCAAGTCCCAGCAAAGGCTGAAACACAGGAACTGCCTCTGCTGTGATTCGAGCTGACAAATGTGGCCATTGCCAGTTAAACCGATAGTTTGTCCTTTAACGAAGGCTCTGTCAACAGCTTGGCAGTCTCATTTGCAGTCTTCTGTATGTACCAATCTGTCAGAGGCAGGACAGCTATTTTCTTTCCCTGCAGCCCTCACTCTGCCCTTTGGGAAATGCCCCTTTGCCATTTCTGCCTTCTGCCCTCCTGGGCTGGCTGGATTCACCATCAAAACCAGATTAAGGAAGTCAGAGCTGTTCAACATCAGACAGTGCTTGCTTAGGCCTTTAAGTATTTCCTCAAAAGGTGTCCCAGGCCAAGGCCTGTCTGCTTTATGTTCCTCTCTGGCTCTCGTGGCCGTGGCCTGCAGCCCAGTGTGGGACTGGTCCCCAGGAGCACCCCGGGCTGAGCTCCCCCTGGGCCTGGCAGCGTGGCTGTGTCGGGGCTGTGCTGGGTCACACTGGCCTGTTCACAGCAAGCTGGGCCATGTAAACACAAAGGAGCAAAAGTGGGAGTTTCCTCTTCTCCTGTGGTTTTGGCAGAACAGAAACTGGCATAGTTCTGGTGCTTCCCAGCTGGGGATGGCTGCAGGGAGCCTGCTCTGCACTGGGCTTGCTTTGTGTGAGACCCTCCTGCTCTTCCAACATGTCCTGGTCCATCTGCTGAATATTTTATAGCTTGGGTGGCCCCTCTGGGTCCACTGCAGAACTCCTCATCATCAGCCCCAGCAAGCAGCACATCTCATTTGAGCACAGAGCTTATTTGGGGTGAGCTGGGGATTGTGCTCCACAGTTCTGTGTAACTCTGAATGGGTGAAATGTTTGCCCTGAGTTGGTGTGCCACGCTCTGTGTCTGGACTCTGCCCCCGCTGGTGAACACAGGGCTTTCGAGCCTCATCTCTGGCAAGGCTCAAAAGAACCCAAACCCAAAAACAACCTTACAAAAAAATCCCAACCCCGAAAACCTCAAACACACAGAAATGGCAAGCAGGACATGAAGTGGGTTTGATTGATGTTGTTTTTGGAGATGCTGTGGCTGGAGCAGCAGCCCCATGTTCAGTGCTGTGGTCTCAGCCTTTTCTGTGCTGAAGGAACCTCAGGGATCAGCTCTGGCTCTGTGACATGCCCGGGTCAGTGACACATGGGGCAGCTCCACATGCTGAGCTGTTCCCTCAGTGGGGATTTCAATGACCAGCATTGCTGTTCTGCCTCCTCCCACAGTAACTGCTAACATGTGGCATTTTGCTGCCTTCATGTCTCTTCATTGCAGAGAAAAATGTCCTGGGATTCTGTGCTTCAGCACCTTTGAGGCATGAAGATGATGTTAGAGACCCACAGCATTAGAGGGCTCTTGCCTGAGATGTGGATTGATGGGAGACTTGTCCTCAGACAGTGGGTGGCACGTGCTGAGCTGTCGTTATTTTGGTTCTCACACTATTTTTTTCTCCTTCTTGGCAGATCTTCTGAATTTGGCCCCTGACTAGAGCTGACAGATGATGGAAACATTTCCCTGGCGATGTCTCTGGGGCGACTCCTCCGTCGAGCCTCTTCGAAAGCGTCCGACCTCCTGACCCTGACTCCCGGCAGCGGCGGCTCCTCCTCCGTGCTCGATGGGGAGATCATCTACTCCAAGAACAATGTCTGTGTCCACCCCACTGAGCTGCTGCAGGGCATCGGGGAGCACCATCCAGGTGATGGCAGGTTGCAAACCCTGCCCATTCTCTCTTTTTCTCTCTCCTGGGTGTTGCTTCTATCAAGTTCTACATCCTGGGCCCTGAGGAGTGAAGAGGTGCCAGTGGGGACAGGGCAAGGCTCAGGAAAGCCATCCACAAGCTGATCCATCAGCTCTTCTTTTAGTAGGAAGATTAGTGATATTGCTCCTTTCTCTTCTGGTCTAGCATGGATTTACCTGGTTTAGTAAGTCCTTTTGTGCAGTCAGAAGTTGTCATGTGGGGACAGTAACTTCTGCTGCTCATTCACATCCCTGAATTGTTCAGGAAATCCAAGTATCCTCTTGTAATTGTCATTGCTGCAGTGGCCTCAGCAACCACTGGTAAAGGGAGGATCCAAAAAGCCTGATTGTGGCTGCGTGCACTGGAGTAAATGAGGATAAATCCTGCTCTGTCCTTTTATTCTCATGTGTTCCTGTGCTCTTTCATGTTCTCATCAAAGGCCTGTGGCTCTTGGCTTAGCTTCACAAAATGAATTATTCTCTGAGCACTGACCCTTGCTTTCCTTTTGGTGTGGGTGTCTTCTTTTTCCATTGGCTTCCCATAAATAATGTAACCCTTCAGCTACACTAAGGTAAATATTCTTGAGAAATCAATGTTCAGCTGGCACTTGAAATTGTTTAACTAAGAAACAGTAGAACTTTTTCATGTGGGAACGTATTTTGTAATTTACTCTTGATTAGTAAATCTGTCCAGGAAGTCCAAGTATTTGCATGTCATTTCTGTGTTCAGTTAGGCCAGAGGTAATTCAGACTGTTCAAAAGCCACATGCAGACTTGAAATGATTTGCAAATACTGAATAATGATGAGCACTTGACAATTCCTTTGACAGAATTCTGTCCTGGTGAATTAAAGGGTTTGTTTTGCCCATGTGGAGTGGTAGTGAAGTGGCAGGAGTCACAGAATGGTTTGGGTTAGGGGAGATCTCATGAAAAGGTAAAGGGAGGACCCTAAAGATCCTTTCACCAAACCAGGTTGCTCAGAACCCCATCCAGCTTGGCCTTGAACATTTCCAGGGATGGAGAGATGGGGAAAGGGAAACTTCGGGGCGGTGAATGACTCGGTGTGACAACCTGTGCTCCTGTGCTCTCCCTCAGGCTATTTGTGCTTGTACATGGAGAAGGACGAGCTCCTGGGAACCACACTGATCCTGGCCTGGGTGCCCAACTCGCGCATCCAGCGGCAGGATGAGGAGGCCCTGCGCTACGTCACCCCCGAGAGCTCCCCGGTGCGCAAGGCGCCCCGAAAGCGCGGCCGCCACGCCCAGGCCTTCGGCATCGGCCGGCCCGCGTCCCCCCCGGAGCAGAGAGGGGCGCCGGGCCTCAGGGGGGACGAGATCCTCACGGTGTCCCAGCTGGTGAGGGATGGGGCCCCCTCCTCGGAAGGGGAGAAGCTGTCGCAGAGCGGCGCCTGCCGGTCCCCGCAGCCGCCCCACAGCGACTCGGGGACCCTGTCCACGGTCAGCTCCCAGGAGGAGCACTGCAGGTCCGAGGGCACAGAGGAGGGCCTGGACTGCAGGGAGGACTCCTTGGAGCTGTCTGCTGACGATGTGAGCAGGGACAGCACTTTTGACTCTGATTCTGATGCCTTCTCTTCCCCCTTCTGCCTCTCTCCCATCAGTGAAGCCCTGGGGAAAAGCAGCAGCTCCGTGTTCATGGACAGTGAAAGCAGGTGAGTGCATCCTTTTTCTGGGTGCTGGGTGCTGAGCTTGGAGATGCTGAAGGAAGTTGAGAAACTTCACAGTGGCATTGAGCTCAATGCCCTGTCTTGCTTCAGACTCCTATGGAGTTTACAGGAAACTGTCAGCCAGTTCTGCTTCTGCTTGGTGAACCCTGGCCCCAAACATCCAGGGCTGTGTATGTCCTTTCAGGTGAACTGTCTTGAACCCTGGAAGCAGCATTGCTGAATTAAACGGGTCCTTTGTTGGCCTGATTGGCTCTGCTGAGGATCTGAGCTTGTTGCTTCTCGTGCAGAGCCACATCAAAGGGCCCTGCTGACTTCCTGAGCCGTGGGCACCGCTCCGGGCCCTGTGTTGACACGAAACCTGCGTGTGGGAGCTTGTTTTGCTGCTGTTCAGAACGTGGTCCCACTTCAGACAGATAAACATTAATTCTTGCATGTCTAACCTGGGTATTTCAGTCAGTGCTTCCCAGTGTCACCTGCAGTAAACTCCACAGGGGAAAAGAGGGCACCTTGGCAAAGGAATAAGGAGCAGGAGGACACCTGTACAACTCCCTGTTTCCATCTCCAGTGGTTCTGACTTTGTGGGCCCTGCCCTGTTGGTGTGTTACTCGTTCCCATCTCAGGGAGGATGGATGTGATGCATTCCTGAAGCACCATGGGGCTGATTTTTAGGCTACAACTCAACTTTGAAACTACACCTGAAATGAGGAGAAACGAGTTCTCCTTTGTTCATGTCAGCAATGCACAGACTGCATTGACAGCTGAAGAGATTCTCCCTCTATTTTGTGGGCTAATCTCAAGCCCAGAGAATGCCACTAAGAACGAGGCTTGTGAACAAGTATTCTAATGGATTCATTTCTCTCTGGATATTTTAAAACCCGTCTGTGAGGTGATGTCAGACTTTGTATCAGCTTTGCATTCAGAACGTGCCCAGGGTTTGCTGCACTTGTGCTCTGCAGCACCTGTGCAGTGGGGTGAGTAGTGACTGTCCCATCCCATCCCATCCCATCCCATCCCATCCCAGTTACAAAGTCCAGATCAGTGGGTGAGAGAAACGCCAATGAGCACAAGTGAAATGTGCATAGCCTGGCATCTTCTGTCCTCATGGGGGGATTGGGAAGCTCAAGGCTCAGGAATGTTATTACCCCACTGTAGTGGTGGGAAGAGCGAGGGACACGTTTGGAATAACATCCTGGCTGCTGAAAACCAGGAGGCTGAGCTCATCCTGGGGAAACCCCAGTCCTGGCATAGGCCACAGCCCACGTGCTGTCCCAGGAATGCTGTGGGCTTGGACTGCTCCCACAAGGAGCTGGTGCAGGAGGGTCCCAGGCAGCATCCAGTGAGTCAGGAGTTGTGGTTTAACTGTGCTGCAACACTTATGCTCTGAGCTGCAAATAGTGTCAGGAAAGGAAGGAAATATGGTTTATTGCATCTTCTCTGCCTTGGCTATGAATTCCTGCGGCATTTCCCTGCCCTCTGCCGGCTCTTCCTCACTGCTGCTGGAGCCCAGACAGCTCCAGCCAGGCAGAGCCGGCTCTGCACACACTGCTCAGGGGCCGGCTTGGTTCTGCTTTTTTCCTTCTTTTTTAACTCCTGTGGTGCCAGTCTGAAGCCTCACACAGTGCACATGGCACTCATAATTGGCAGCAGGTTAATAAAACAGAGCTTTTGTTGTTTGGGACTTTTGACTTGAAAGGATTTTGTCCAGTGTGTGCATTTTTGCTGCCAATTTGTTCTTCCCCATTGAGCCGCCTTCCATGGAATCTGCAGGATTTTTCTTACAAGTTGTTGAGTGGGAGATTTTGCATAGAATCCTTTGCAAAAGTCTGGTCAAAAAGCATCTCATATTTCCTGCTTTCATCTCAGCATTTTGGGGGACAGGAGATGCTGTTTCAGAAGTCACTACAAACATGGGAACAGCTTCCTTGTTTCTTAAAGGTTTGTTTTGGTTTGGGTTTTTCTGCTGGCTGCTTCCCCTTTGAGCCAGAATTGGAGTGGGAACAAAGTTTGTGCTGCTGGCAGATTGTTTGAGCTCTCTTCCCTCCCCACCTCCCCGTCACCACCTCCTCTCTGCCAGGAGGAACGACTGTTTCTGGTTGTTTCCCTCTGCACTGGGGAGTTGCTGCAAAGACAGCTCTGCTCTTCCCTGTGGTTGTTGCAGAAGCTGAAGGAATATGTTGCATTTCAGTCCAGCCAGCTTCCTGTGTGATTAGCTATCCTCAGAAATGGAGAAACATGTCGCTGTGGAAGAATTGGGATGTACAGGTACACTTGGATAAGATGAGATGAGATGAGATGAGATGAGATCAGGGGCTCGGCGAGCTGCTTGACAGAATTTGTGTGTGACCAGGAGTCATGAGTCCCATCTGCCTCTTGGAGTGTCCCTGAGGAGGTGGCCTGGCCACCTGGGCATGAGGGAGCCACAAACACTGCAGTGTGTGCAGGACGAGGGCGGGGAAGAGGGAGGGAGGTGGGCTGGGGAGCCCTGGAGTTGCACAACCAGTAAGTCAGTTGCAAGTCACCAACTCGCCTGGTAGAACATAAGGAAATAAAAACGTTTCCATTGGGTTTTTTTCCTCTTTGCTTCTCAGTTTGACAGGCTGCCAGGGGTCCCACGCAGCGATTGATGCATCCTCCTCCCATTTACACAATGGGAGCAATGGGAGTGTCCCAGCACCAGCATGCACACTCCTGCTTCTCTCTTTAGACCAGCCTGGCACACTGCTGCAGGGTGCTCTCATCCCTCAAGGAAAGGTGGCCTTACTGTCCTGGGGTTTGTGTCCTTCTTAACTTTGGGGACCCCTTAGTGCTCCCAGCATGTGGTTTCTTCAGGAGGCAGCTGGTGTGGGGAAACTTACACTGATGGCAGCTTTGTCAGGGTGTGTGTTTCTGTGGAAAAGGAGGGATGCTGGAAATAAAATCATTCTGTTCAGTCCCTTCCCTCCCCTGTCCCCGTTGTTTGTTGGCTGTCAGGAAATGTTTGCCTTGTGGTCTGAAGGACACAAGTTCAGGGCAGCTGCTCTCTGTGCCCAGCTCTGGCTCGCTGCTGCCTTGGGAAATTCCTCTGCTTCCATTTTCCCCAGCAGTAAATTGAAACTAAAAGGCTTTTGTTACATCCAGGCAACCAAACAGCATCTGACACTTCTGTAATGTCCATCCACTGATGCTGCTGGAGTTATTGAACTGACCACGACATCAGATCTATATAGTCAGTTCTGGAAGCACTTAGTGCTCTGTGAGTGGGGTTTGGTTTGGGGTGGGGTTTGTGCTGTGCCAGAGTGATCCCTGGATAGCAGGAGCTTTCATGGGTGCTCAGGAGGCTTTTCACTCCCCACCTGCAATTGCTGATACCTGACAGGCACCACAGCAGTGCTGAAGAGGAGATGCACACACTGGTGTTGGTTCCTTCACTCACTTCACCTTGGGATGTTGGCCAATACAGTCTAAATTTGGACTGAGGAGCCTCAGTGTTGGAATTGTATGAGTGGAGCTTGGCGCAACATCTGGCCAGAGGCTGGAGCTCCACAAGCAGCCCCATAGGTGCTGGGACAGAGGCCAGCAGTGCTCCCACAGCTCAGGCTGGAAAGGACCAGCAGAAGCGATGTGGCCAAGGTGGAATCAATGCAGGAAGGAAACATCTTTCATGAGACATCGATCATTTTAGCAGGCAGTAATAAAAATAGTGAAACACTGTCATAATGGAGGTGGATGATGGTGAGTTCTCATGTTCTTCAGCAGACATGAGTTCATATGGCAGATCGATCACAGACAGCCCAAGCGAAGCTCACAGCATAGGGAAAAACTCCTTTGGCGTCGCAGCTGATGCAATTTTTACGGATGTGTTGCACATCCTGTTGTTAAGCTGCTTCCCAGGAGCTCATCAGTAAATGAGCTGCTCCAGGAGCCAGTGGGAGCAGCACAGGCATTGCATCATCTTGTTTTGGCAGCTCACCTGAAGGGCTGAGAGCCATTCCGACCTCTGCAGCAAAAACAGGAGACAAAATTGTAAGGGAAATGAGCTGAAATTAGAGTGAACTGGCAGGAGCTCTGGAGTCCCCAAGAGATTGGGAATTCATCGCTGTTGTAACAGAAGTGATTATATTGGAACCAGGGGAATTGGTCACAGACTTTAAAATCTCCTGTAACTTCTTGCAGCATCTCAGTTTTGAATTAATTCAGCCCTGGGGAGGAGCAAGGTGGGTACCTTGTCCAGGCTTCAATTCCCTAGGACTTGCCTGAACTGGTGCCACTTATGATGTAAGACAGCGAAGCTCCTAATTCCATTTGTACCCAAACCCATGCCCAGGCAAAAACATCGACAAATCCTTCTTCCATCAGAAGAATAGTCCTTGATCTCTTCTGTTTGCATTGTGGGGTCGGTGTAAGCTTCCCTAAGGCAGGGGTAGTGTGTATGGAGCCGGGCACTGGGAAGGGGAGCTGGCCTGAGCCATCAGCAGCACTGTGTAATCAATTAAAGTTGTTCCCGGCTGCAAAGCTGAGAAAGTTGGACAGATCCAAGAGATTGCAGAGGCATACGGCTCTATCTTGCTTTATATAAATATTTGAACAGCAAGAACATTAATTATAGCAGGTTTGTTTCTTCCCTCTGTTGGGTTGCTGCCAGATTTCGTTGGAAGAAAATAGTGACAGCTAACTTGGGATCGGGAATTGCGGCTGAGGGGGTCCATGAGGCTCTTTATTTGGGATGTCGGGGAGGCAGCGAGAGCGGGCGGTATCCGTGAGGGAGCTCCCAGGGCAGGCAGCGGGAGCAAGAGGGGACACGGAGGGTCCCCTCTGTCCCCTGGGGCACCGGCCGTGGTTCAGGTCTGCTCAGGACGCTGGGGAAGGCCTGAAGCCCTGCTTCGGACACAGCTCCGTGGGCAGGCCTGTGGTGGCTTTCTGTGGAGCTGTGCATTGTGGCTGCCGTGGCTTTTTCGTGGCCCGTGACCGTGGGTCGCTACCATGGCCTGTGACCGTGGCCGTAGCCG